AAAGGGGTCTTTATCAGTAAAAAAGGAAGAAAAGAAGCTACTGAACTCCCCATCCTTTACAGTGACCTTTTAAAAAGGTCTCCTGACTAACAGTTCTCTGTTAACTATTGTGTTATTGCTGAGTCTAGAGTCTGTTAAAGCTTCTGGTAATCAGCTATGGAAACACGTGCACCAAGACTATTTTACCATAGATGCATAAATTCACTCTGTCCACAAAAAGTGAAAATCTAGTCCATAGAGATAAAAAATCTAGCAATTTGGGGGTATAAATTTTTGCACAGAAGTTAACCATTAAAGATGAAAAATAACCTTCAGATTTTATTCCTTAGAGTAAATGTGATGTGACACATATGGGTTAGTAAAAACGTTTAATGTTGCATGAAGTTTGAATGATAATTTCAGTTAATCTTCTGATGATGACATTCTAGGCAATTTGTTAAATTTGGGATATATGAATGTAAAGACATGTTGCAACATGTCTTCTAAAAATAATGTTGTATTTTGATGTTTCAAATAATATGGTTACATCTGAAAAAAAGCAAACTGTGAAGAATTCCTCTAATCTCTCTGAGCATTTGACTTGGAGCTCTTCAAAATTCACAGCACACTGTTGACATACAAACATTCTCCCTAGTGCCATATCCAATCACTTATATCTTTCTAATGCTACTTCAGTTCAAATTCCCACAGGAAAGCAGCACGCTTAGTGAATACATGTACTGAAAATGGCAATAACACAAAAACAATTCCTCAGTGTTTCATATAATTAAATTAATTTCAGCAGTAATAGGAAAGAAATCAGCTCATGCAAGTGAGAATTCTGAGGTGATGTACAGCTGTGAATCATTTTGCTTTGTTAAGATGCAGTGAAATAAGGCAAGAAAAGGGGACCTTTGACAGAAAAGATGGAGATTCCACTTCAAAGGCAGAAAGCTCTGGTAATCACTATACCTAATTTGAAAGACTGTCCCAGTGACCTGTTTCAAGGAAAACCACAGTCCTAATTTGTACCCTACTCATCACCACCCAGTCCTCACAGCCAACAAATCTAATGCCTTCATTTCTTCCTTTTCCTAACATCTCTAAGATGTCTTACTTCTTACTCACAAGGAACAGACAACTTTCACAAGCAGATCAGTTGTTAACATGAAGAATTCCATAAAGCCATTTTTGCTCTAAGTAGAATTAAGGAAACATACTAAATAGAAAACAATTATTAGAGGTTGTTATTTTTCAGAGATGACCAAGGAAATTTAAATGGAAACTTCTTTGAACACAGTTCAAATCTGGCTCTGCTGAGCTAAAACTAACCATTGCTGACTCGATATGCTTGAAATTTTAATCAATTCCAGAAGTGGTTAATGACCAGCATGGTGGCAGAATGAAGACCTCAGTCTTCTGAAGGTATGATCTAAAAGAGCCAACCACGCTTCCAGTGAAATGTCTCTTGACTGCCCAGGCACTTTCTCAGTGCTCACATACACAGCTTCCTAGGGGTATAGTATATGACAGTGTATAAAGGTATTTGCATCTCAAACTCACAAGTACCACAGACTATCTATACCTGTAACTAAGTACTCTGCCTTTATTTTTTTTAACCAATTACTGAATAACATCCTGAGTTTCCTGCATTTGCTTAACTTTCTATGCACTATTATCTGTTATTTTCCTATAGAAGGATTGTATGTTTTAAATATTTCTTTGGTGATTAAGCATGTTCTGTTTAACATAAATTTAGGACCTTGGAAAAAGGACTGAAATAATCCCCTCAGATTTAGGATTTTGTTTTCACTTTGATTTTATAAGGCTACACTTGAGTTGCTATACTGACATTTAGTTTTACATGGACACTCGTAACAGACTTTTGTCTGGATTCATGCCACCAGCCTGCACTCATCTACTCACCAAGCCACTTTGCTGTGTGGAAATAGGGTTCACAGTATTTGTTTTATTACTTCCTATTGTATTAAATTCTCTTTGGTACAGCAAAAAACCCAAAAAACTTCTTTCTCTTAAGATCTGGATTACTTGCTTCAAAAGATGACAGACAGTACAATTAAAAATGTGATATAAACTATTAGAAAACCTGACAGTAGAAAGCTGGATACTAGAAGACAAGCCTCCTGTCCTACTGTTCCAGTTATTATTCCATTCCAGTGCTATGCTACAAAGATAAATCATTGATAAATAGCATGTTCAATGTTATTCAGCAGACAAAAAAAACCCCCAACAGATGGAGTCAAGCTGTTTGTTACCGAATTTTAAGGTAGAAATCTTGGTTTTGCTTTATCAATATAGCTCATTCTTTCCTTGAAAAGTATGCTGTTGCTCAATATAGCACCTGATTTTGTCAGTCTTGTTATCTTTTTCTATCTCATCTTTTGTGACATGTATACATCAGAACCACTTAAATGAACTATAGCATATGACTTAATGGTATTTTTCTATTTTTTTCAGTGCTGCATGTAATGACACCAGGCTTCTACTATTGGGCTTATTACTCTCAAACTCAGCATTGGAAAGTTCTTTGTGTAAAGCTGTCATCAACACAGATGGTTAGCCAAAAACTCCTTAAGGAAAACTGCTTTAATCCCCAGGCTTTCCAAGATTATTTTACTTACTATGAATCTGTATGACATCCAGTCTAGGCCCTTAGACTTCTGAGCAGTAACAGCAATGTGGATTAGGCTATAATGTTCAGATTCACTGAGTTTATCAATGGGCGAGAGATGATGAAAACTTAATAGAGAGCTCAGAAGATTCAGAGAGTATGCATTGACTACAGTAAGCAAAGCTATTCTTAATGAGAACAGATAAAATTCAGAGTACTTTTTCCTGTTTCTAGAAGACAGACATACCTAACACGTTTTTTCACATAGTAAGTTCTTTCCCAGGAAAACAAATTTGCTTTGATGTCTGAAAAAAATAACTACTTTACACCATTAAGAGAAAATAAAGTCATGACTCCCATAGTAGCTTCCAATGTAGAATGTAACTTTACAGAACAGCTATTTCTTTGTCTGTTGCAGTTAACAGTAATTAGGTAAACACTGAATGGCATAGGAAAGAAAATGAGTGGTACTGCAACCCCTGTAATTTTCCTGCTTGTACTTCGGAGAAACTTTTAATTGTGTTTCTGGACAGGAGGGATTTTGTAGTTCCAAGAGCAGTCATTCCACCTACTATTCATATTTTAACAAATATATGAAAACCTCAGTAAGTAGCCATCACAGCAATCAATTTCAAAAATAGGAAAACATAAAATAAAAAAACCCAATCCATAAAACCATTAGGAGACTGAGGACAGAATGGACAAACTCTTGTCAGAAAACTCTTCAAAGATCCTAACACTTGGCCAGCTCAAACTGCAGTCATATATTCTCTGGCCAAATTTTACAGTATGTTCTAAATGAGAGAAATAAGAGTTATGGTTAAATTGTTTGGGAAAAAAGAAATCATGCGAGGTCTCAGAGAAAACACACCCTAAATCTAGTTCTTTCTCTTGTTCATGACAAATTCCAGTACAGGCGCAGGTATTGATAAAGACCTATAGCCATATGGATTGAAGCAGAAATATCTTTGACAGATGGACTCCATGACATTTAGGACTCCATCAGCCAGACAAAGCACATCCAACTCCAGTCATGGTGGCAACTGGCAAATACCCAACAGAAGTTCTGTTCACGCAAAAAAAGACACTGTGTGTATTTCAGAGAATGCTCACAGAGCAAAAAAGCTTCCTGGCAGTTCTTTTCTTTAGGATCTAAAGAAAAAGGGTCATTCAAGGACAGCCCTCCTCTCCCCAACAATTACAAGTATGCCAGTATGACACACTGAATACGGAAGGTATTGATGGACAACAACATGATTAACTTTCAATCTTTTTCCATTTTGTGGGAGGAAGGAAAACATGCAGCCAAGGCCACAAGTGTGATGTCTGTGCCAAACCCAAGGTCAGAACATCAACACAATCTGAAGGCGTCAGCAGCATTGCAGCATCATGGGATTCCACTCACCACCACATTTCTCAGTGTTAATCAGGAATAGAAAAGTCGGATGCTGGTCAATAACTCAGAAATTCAGTCGTTAAGTAGTGGCTTTCTGGGCAAATACATGGCCTGAAACAATTACAATCATTCCTTCATCAGAAGTCATGGACAGTTTCTACCAAAACGGTTTCAGTGCCTTAGATAACGTGCTCTGACTTGTATGACTTGCGTTATGTAGGCCATAGACATTCACTTCTAGCTATTCTACTGAAATGCCAAAATATGTTTAGCAACTGCTTTTAAAATACAAAAATAAAACAATGAGCCACAGCTGAAAAACTTCACAACATGTCTCTTAGTAGCTTTTTTTCAATAGTTTACCAGTCTGTGCCTTCAACAAATGTATCCTTTTGCTAATTTACTTATCTCTAACCCTTGGCTCTTGGTTCTTTCTGACAGCACAACACACTCAAACTGTACCAAGACTAGTTTTGCAACATCACCACAAGGTTTCAGACACAGATGTAATGATAAAAATCCAACAATTGAAGTATATATGACTCGTATTTTTATAGGAACTAGTTTTGCACTCAAAAGTGTGCACCAGAGAACATGGCTAACATTCCACCTTTTTTCTTCTTGAAATAACAGATAAAACCAGTTATATTTAAACTGCCTAGCTTCCAGTTTTTCTACTTTTTTCCATTGAAAGGCTTCACTGGTAAGTCTTCCCCTTTCTTCCCAGTGCACTACAACACTGATTTACAGTGGTTTGATATAAATTCTTCCCTTCAAGTACAAGTTTCTTCTAAACATGCACACGATCCAACCCATCCTCCTACAGAGACTTAACCAAATCCCCTATCTCTTATTTTGTTCATATATTATTGTTCATATTGTTCATATAAGTTCATAGATCATATAGTTTGATGTGCAATCTTCTGTGAGATCTCAGTTTTAGCTGAATAGACAACAGTCTTATAAACACCCTTATTAAAAGTGAATACTGACCTTGAGGTGAGGCTGAAGGGAAGCAGCAAATCCAGGAAGGAGATGCGAAAGAAAAAGAGTTAGAGTTTGTGAAAAAAGTGTCCAGAGATAAGGCAGTTCAAGAATACAGGACAAAACAGGCAGATCTAAATCAGGTAATGACATACAGACACACACAACCTTTCACAAACACAGAGCTGCATGTTTTATAGACACCAATTAAAAAAGAAAGAAAAAAAAAAGACAGAAAAAGAAAAAAGGATTACATTAGATTACACCATTTCACTTAGAGGCAACTTTCTGTAGAGAAAATATTCTCCAATACGTAACAGTTCTTGGAAAAGGGAAATATGCCAACTGTAGAAAGCTCTGGATTTACACCACACCACTAGCAAGTATCCTTTTTCCAGAATTCTAAATAATATTTTGAAAAAGTGGAGTTCCACTGTCTGAAATGAACCCTACTGTGTTCCTTTGTATCATCTTCTATGGCCTTATTTTCTCCCCATGAGCAAGACACATAGTTTTCACGTTTTCTGCAGATGACCCAGACTTGTCAAAAGGGAATAAACAGAAGGGAGAAACACTCCATCAATGGAGTAAAGCCTTCAAGACATGTAGGCTTCTCAAAGCTAAAAGTTCATCTTTCTTGATTTTAACATTGAAGTCACCCTCCCAAAGGCAAACAAAAAAAGCATCTGCCTCTTCCTGCAGTGTTGCTGTTTTAATTCTTCCATGTAAGGTGCAATCTAAAAACAATAATGACCAAACAGGCACGTTTTTAACAGTTCTCTCCACCATTGTTCAACAGCAGGATTGACCAAGACAAAATCCTGGAGTCCCCTGTGTAACATGAGGCCCTATAGGTTCATTATTGCTTTTTTTTTCCAAATATCTCCAATATTGTTTCATAGGCATCTGCTGTCAATTTCACTGATAACAGCAAGGTAAGTCAACAGGGAGCCATAAATACAGATATTTAATCTTTTTCAGTTGGTAGAAGAGAGGAAAAGTAAATGTGCTATTCAAAATAGCAATTTGGCTTCTACAACATGTTGTACTTCTCCCATGGCAAAATTTCACTCTAAGAATGCAGGATATGGTCTGAAGAAAAATATTTCTACAGGATAGGCTAACTGGTATTACTTTTGGTATATGGAACCATGCAAATGAAATTTGAAGTCCTTATTTCTGGAATAAATTTTACAAACAGCAACGTAGGATATTGAATTTGTACAAGCAGCAGTTTCAGAGTGAGGTACAGCAGAGCAATGTCATGTTGGTCTGTAACAGATAAACTGATGTAAAGATACTTTGGCTTTTAAACTAACATTCTTCAAAACAAGTTCTTCAAGGACAGCCATTGGAAAGGTTGTGTTATTGGGGATTTTGGGAAAGATGAGACTTGCAAAATGCCAAATACCACATCTCAGTGTTCAATTCTGAAATAAGTTGTAATGTTCCAAAAGCCTGAGTTAATTCAAATAGAGAAGCATGCAACTAACAATTCTGACTGAAATCCAAGAGTACACTCTCTAAACTGAGCTGCAGAGCTACGACTGGTCAAACAGATTTAATAACAGGGAAAAAAAAGTGAAAATACACCACTTGGTTAAATATGCGAATAATAAGGGGGGGGGGGAAGCTTGGCTTTTTTATGACTGCTACTGAATCTACATTATGAAAGTTTAAGACCTCTCATTTTGTGCTTCAGTGACCCTTTGTATTCTTGGTTCTATTGTAATCATGTTGTGACATTGTTTCTTTAATTTAACAGTGAAAAAAAACCAGAGGCTAGAATTCAGAATAGCTCCATAGGATCCAAATGAATCATACTGTTCTTTCAACTGCTATTAAAGGTAGCATCTTGTGTTGGCACAAGATGAAGGAAGGCAGAACAGTACCTGAAATGCTAAGCTGAGGTCACATGCAATTTTCTGTATGCTACAGAAGTATTATTTACCCAGCTGCACAGGATTTAAATGGAGAATAATTATTGCTACATCTTCATTTTGGTTTTGAATAAATTCTTTCTTCCAAAGGAAGATACTTTTTGTGTAATTGTTAGCCCCCTTTTCAGTGTTTGCTTTTTGTTCTGGTGGGTTTTTTTTATTTTGTTGGTTTTTGTTTATTTACAAGGGTTCCAAATATTTTTTAAAAATGTGTATTTTTAGAATAATCATAATATTTATCCAAACAAAATTGAGGAATTTCTGAAAGCACATTAAAATTAGAAAAAATCTGGAACTGTGCTGTCACTCAAACTAAACACAAGGCAGACACTGGAAATTACCAGCTATTAGGAAATCAGTGGAGATTTGCTGCAGGCTGGAGGTGAAGCCTCAGTGCACAGGACTACATCAGTGAAATTGAGCAGAGGAGCACAGCAAGCATCTGCCCCAGGAAGCAGCCCCAAGCAAGCAGGATCAGATACATACCGAGACATGCTCATTACAGAGCAAAATAATAATCTTTAGTTTGCACTATTTCCCTTCAAGCAAGAACACACACTTGCAGCATTCCTTACAAGATCCAGCAGCAGCGTTTCTGCCCAGCCCCATTAACTGTGTACTCCGATGCAACAGTCACACAGGGAGACAAGACAATTGTAACACCAAATGGTAGTCTCAGAGAAACCCATCTTCTTTTAAAATGCCATCTCATTCATTTTAAAGATAGCTGACCTAAATCTGATCACTGGGTGCAGAGCAAAAAAAAATCCGTGAGATGTGAAAACTTCCGTAATTTAATTAAGAAATAGATATTTAAAAAGCTGTTGATTATTCCAGCTATATTTTTTTCTACATGCTTGTATATTGTAGGGAGTGGAATGAGTCTGCTGTATTAGTCTCAGATGTACTTAGAAAGAAGTTTATGTAATCATTTATAGTCAAATTTTGAATTCCACTTGTTCAACAGTGAATGATTGTGTATATTTACTACTTTGCCATGCCTTCCAAGCAGTCTGACAGAGAATAGTATGCATTTGATCTTCCTTGTGTCAGTCAAAGCAGGAAGGCAGTTTATGTTTACCACTTCTGATACCTTTTCTTGGTAAAAAGAACAATGGCTGGTCTTTTCCTTCCCTTTTAGTTGATATCTACGGGAATATTTAGATAGGGAAGAGATGGACAGACAGACAGAGAAGGTTTGTGCGTGCATCCATGTGCACGTGCATGTATGAATCTAAGAGCACAATCATGATCACAAAGGCCATGGAGCCCTAACATTGTTATTTCACTGTCTTACTGACAATTACGGGATTTTCCTTTTGTTCTTACTATACTCCAAGGCAACGTAAGGGTCTGACAGTTTTATTTTACTGTATCAGTTGTATAAAAAGTCTTCGGTTTTTTTTTCCTCCTTACCTACTAGTTTGTGAGTATGGATACCCTTGTAACACTCAAAGATGTTGACTGAAACGAAGCTACAAAACAGCTTTTGAAGAGATGTTGTCAAGACAGGTAACAATGAAATCCTAAAACGCAAACTAGGCTCATTAGTTGCATGATGTTATTTCTTATCTGGTTTTATAATTAATTACATCATAGCTCTTACGCTACTGATTTAGCAATTGGATTAGGAGATATTTACTAAATAAAAGCCATCACTGCTACAATTCAAGCAGAGTATAAATCATCAGATTACGACTCCTATATTCATTGATTTAGGCATGAAAGGAAATGCTTGATAACCACCTTGATTTAATGACGAAAACAAACAGGACTTGAATGGTACAGGAAATTTGGCAGGAAAAGAAGCCTTCAAAAATGTTCACCATCAGCACTTCTAATTACTCACATGTATTTCTCTAGTATAGGGTCCTTCTTGGAGGATCCAAGATTGGATCCTTAGTCTTGGATTAGCAGACAAACCAAGCTTTCAGGCCATTGCTGAATTTAACAAAGGAGAAAGTCTGTACACAGTTCCACAGAGATGAATCACTCTGTTTAATAGTGTCAGTCCTGCCCGCTTGAATATGGAAATAATACTAGGGCAACACCAGGCAAGCTCATTCAGCCAACACCTGCACCAGCCCTGACCTCTCATCAGGTGAAGGGCTGAACTAATTGAGGTTTTTGACCTTGTTTTTTAGAACAGCTGTTTCTTCGATATCACAAAGTTTTTCCCAAATCACAGGAAAAGGGAGAGAATGGAAAATTAAAATAAAGAACAAATGGAAAAAGGATATCCCATTATATAAAAAAGGTGAGGATGGATTGAGGACTCACCGTAAAATCACTATGATGTCTTTTTTATCTGGTGCTTTCTGCAGATGGATTTGCAATTACTGGCAGTCTCTCTCTTTTTTCTTAGATGTAGGTTTCAAAAGTGATTAGTAAGTTTGAGTGTTGACTTTAAGGCACTCTAACAAAGGTTGATTTTCAGAGGGCAGACACCTGCCTTCTGAAAATTGGCATACTTCCCAATGTCTGAAGTTAAATAACTGTAAGTAAAGGTAATAGCATCTTATATTCTTATCCATTTAAAGCAGTTATGTTGATACAAAATGTACTATTTTTTCCTCTGTGAAACTTAATGTGGGACTTTGGGTGTAATGTTCATTCTGTATGAAGATAAAGCAAGAGTGAGAAGAAACGACTTTACCTTCCTAGCTTGGAAATGATGAAAATCTCCGTATTCAATAGATCTGTGCGCTCAGAGGTGGAGCAAGGCGAACTATGGGCCTCCCCACTTTTTTCCATTGCAAAACCTTGTTCTCAGTTGTTTGCCAAATATTAACAAATTGTGCTGAAATTTTCCATGACAGGTATCAGCCTCACCCAGGATTTTTTTGGGACAGTTTCAGCTACATCCCTTATACATCAAAGGCAACACTCTTGTGGAAAAAAATTGTTTGTATGGTTAAACACTGTATCACTTTATCGTGATACACAGACTCAAATAAGAGGTTAATTAAAACTATGTGGCAATTTTCAGTTTGAATGTCCTCAGTTTTGAGTGATAAACTTTAGAATCTTAGTATTCACTTAAGCTATGGAATTTTGAGGGAAGTGGAGGAGAACAACCAA